CTTTTTGGTCCCAGATGCCCAATACCCTGTTGTTTTCTCTGGCGATGAAGTGGGTGCTGGGGAGGAACAGTAGAAATTTAGTCTTCAATTCTGCCACTCTTCACTTTTAGGAGGTAGTATTTTAGGTGTTAGAATACTGTGAAGTTGTCCAACACAAACAATCATTTTACAAATCACCAAACCCTGTGGTCAGGCTCCTGCTCTGCCTTATAGGAGCTCCCAGACCCTTCTTGGAGCCTTGATTCAACATCTTGTGCTATCTTTCAGGCTGCATCTCCCCCTGTAGAAAAGACTCGTACAGCAAAGGCTGTGACTGACACAAGCTGTCCTGACTTAAAAAGGAGAAGAAAAAAAAAGAAAAGATGCAAAGCCTAATCAGGGATGGAGCACTGGCATTAACAGTGGAAAATGTAGTCCTGAATGGACAGGGGCTAAATTTGTCACAGCTTCAGATGCTTGCTTTCCCCTGCACAGCATGCTTGCTTCCCATGCTCTCAGACTGCTCTCCTTTTGCTGCAGCCATGTGCCTGGGCTCTGTGTGTGCCTCCATCTCTGTTTCTCAGTGTGTATTTCTCTAGTCTTAGTTATTTTGTCATTTGGATACCAAATTCAAGTGAGTGCGTAGCACAGAGGATCTCCCTCAAGTGTTTCACTTGGAGATATGGGGTCACTGAGGCTGCAGCCAACAAGGTGAGGTCTCCCTCTGCTTGCTGAATTCCTCTAATGTGAATAGCATTGCATCCCAGTAACTCCAGCTTAGCCTCACAAATTCATCTGGAGAGTCCTAAGGCTTTTTCCAGGCACTTATCCAATCTTTTTTGGCTGGCTTCTGCTTCTATGTAGTTTTTCTTCTTTTTGTTTGCAGTAGCCTGGATTTCTAACAGCTGAAAGGATGCCTCACAGAAGCCTGTATCTGGTGACAAGGAAGCTGGGCCATCTTCGTTTTATAGCAGAAAGTTCCCTGTGAGAGTCTGTCTTAGCTGAGAACAACTGTTGTTTTAAGACTGTCTCGGTCTTTGCACTGTGCAGCACTGGCACTGCTCAGGGTCGTTGTCCATTTGCCCTCAAAGAAAGGAGCAAAAGTTGTGCACCAGCATTGAATCATAGAATCATTAAGACTGAAAAAGACCACTAAGATCAGCAAGTCCAGCCATCAACCTGTTACCATCATGCCCACTAACCACTAGGTGGTTCACCAGGGTGTGATGCCACACATTCTTGATTTTCCCATCTTTCGCTCTGCTCTGGATAGGATAATTTGAGGAACCTGGGGCTGGGAAGTGTTTAGGACTGTTTCCTTATGTGTGACCTACAAGGAAAAGGGACAGGAGTGGGAAGGATGGGGTTATGTATGCAGCTTGAGTGTGTGTGCATAGGGAAAAGTGTAACTGAGGACAGCCTATCTTGGAGTTAAGATGGGTCACTTCTGTCACTATTTAGCCCTCATTGTCCTCTGCAAACAAGCATTTATGGCTAATTCCCAGGTATTTGTGAAGGATGGGAGGGTGGTGGTGAACTTCAGTTAAATGCACTATGCTTGCCCATGTGTTTTGCATTCTACTGGCCAGCCTGATTTTTACTTAGACTTCTCAGTTAGGCCATGGTCCCTAAAGGTCTGCTTCTCAGGAACTCTCTCTTTAACAATCAGCTAATTAATGGCCTTGTTATCTCTCAGCTTTCTCCTGTGCACTAGGAGAGGGATGCAGCCAAAGAATGACAAAGTTTTCCACCCTTCTCACCCCCACCCTGTGTTGGGCTTTGTGCCATCTCCAGTTAAGCTCCAGCATGTTGTGTTATTTAGAGAGATGGACCAAAGGGCCACCAACAGTCAGAGTTCCCTCCCTGCCTTTCTTTTGCACTGGCAGATGTCTGGCCTAGTAACAACATGAGCCTATCTCCATCAAGGTTTAGGGCTGATCCAGGATTAAATCACTTGAGTTATTAAGCCAAGTGAGGAAAAGGCAATGCTATGGATCATCACTGGCACTGACAGGAAGGAGTGTGGCTTGGGAAGTGCTTTCCTGACCTCCTTCAGCCCTGAGAAGCTTCTTTCTTTAGATTTGTTCTTCCTAAGAGACTGCCTCTTCCTGTGGTATGTGAGCACTGACGTAGTAAACATGTGTAGGTAATAGAGAGGACATCCTTGGTAGAGCCCACGTTCCCTTCAGAAACCCCTATTATTGGATACTTCCAAGCAAGTCAGAAAGGAGACAGAAAAAGTGAAGCCATTGTAGGATCATACCCTTTTCATTAACACCTATTCAAGATTTGATCTTCCATCCCATGTAACCTCAGGATTGAATGTAAATCCTCAGAACTAGGGGTGAAATGTGCCTAAAATGTGTAGTTGCTTGAGATATTCTACTTCTTGTGCTTCTGCTGATAGCTCTTGCAGATGTGCTTTTTGGGCTAATTTTACTGCCTTAACCCAGATGTAGGATGTCTTAATGTGGGATTTGCTGTCATTTATTATTATGCTTCTTTCCTGACAATGGATAAAAGCACTGAAATAACAGGGATTCTGAGGAAAAAAAATAATAAATCCGGGTGCCAATCATGCTCATTCATTATCTGATTGATGGGATGACATCCATAGGAGCAACTCTCCTTGGTGACTCACAGCACAATGAGTTGGGCATTTCTGCTCTTTTCTTTGTTGGGCAATGAAGAGTACAACAGCTAATAAAAACATACCCATGGCTCACATATCCTTTTGGCCAAATGGTAGCTGGATTTTAACACAGCTTTGCTTGTCTTGTGAACGCATTATCTGCTTATAGTGTGCAATCAGCTTATGGAAGCTGAGCTGTGTTGACGCAAGGTCCTTGCAGCTTGTACTTGCTGGTGATGGTCTGGGCCTTGGAAATCTATAGATTGAGAGTATTGGGCTGCTGAAACTGTCAAATTCTATTGCTGTCTCTAGAAGATAGAGAAGATACCATTCCTTTTCTTTTGCTGGAAGCATTTGTTTTGTAAACGGCATTGGTCTCCACCTTTCTCACCTGGAAATCTCCTTGGAGAGGCTCTATGTCTCAGTGTCTGCAAGTCTCACATATCTTCAACACCTCTACTCATTTTCCTTATTCTTACAGTTTATTTTCCCTTTTCCCTATACTTTCTTTGTCAGTTTTCTCCTCATTCTTTACTTGTCCTCATCTGTTCTTTCCTCCATTTACTCACAGACCTACACTCTTTCCTGTTCCTACCACTCCTGTATGTTTTCTCTCAACGCCTTCCCATCTTCATTATTCTTCCGTTTTGTCTCCTGAAATTCACATTACTCCTAAAAGCCCAGAGAAAATCAAGCTTCTGAGGAGCACTGAGGTGAAGGAAGCTAGAGCATGATTAATTAGTTGTATCAGTAGACAATGAGAAGCTGTTGGAGCTTTTGATGGACAGCTAGCTGTCTGCCAAGCACTTATTTATGAGCTGAAGCCCTCAGCTTGCCTAATTCATCTGTCTCCAAAAAAAGATGATGAGTTTTAGTCAAACCAACTTAGATGAGAAAAACTCACTGAGCAGAGATCTTGCCTCTCTACTTGTAAGAGCACCGTGCACCCTTCGTGGTATGATATAAGTGAGACAGAACAGAATCATTAAGGTTGGAAAAGGCCTCTAAGATCATCAGGTCAACCCATCATCAGTATGCCCACTAACCATGTCCCCAGCCTCCAGGGATGGTGACTCATTCTGGGCAAACAAGTTAGTAATGGGATGAGTTGCCTTTCCGGGAGGCACCTTTTAAAAGCCTTCCTCTGTTAAAAGATTCCTCAGTGTTTTTCCACTGAGATGAAGGGCTGTGATTCAACTGCATGCTCTTCTGGGAGTCTTAAGAGGCAGAAATACTGACTTATTCCAGACAGCCACAAGCAGGTGGCCAAGGTGGATGGTTGTTTTCTTGCTTTTAAGTGGAAATCCAGAGCTGAAAAATGTCAGGAATCTGGGACTGCACCTGGACACAGAGATGGAAGAGGACTTTGAATGGACTACGTCACCTGCTCTTCTGCAAGTGATAGAAAACACTTGTTCAAATAAATAATAACTTAATAGTCAGTTAATATTAACTTAATGACTTTACAGTGACTAGACTGTTGCTGGCGAGTAAGGGTGATTATCTTAGGCCATTTGTCTTTGCCTGGATGGAAGTCTTGTTTCCTTCCTTCTACCCAGCACAGCTGTGGGTGCAGTCACACGTGGTGTTGGAGCAGAGTGTGCAATGAACTAAATCTCTGAGGTTAGCAAGGGAAGTTAACCTGAACATGCTGGATTTGGATGGAGGAAAAAGCGTCCTGCATGGGGGCTTGGATGCTATTGTGAATCATGATGTCCATTTTCCTAACCCATCTCTTACAGGTCTATAACCTGACTCAGGAGTTCTTCCAACGAGGTAAACCAGTCAATGCTGAGAGCCAGAATAGTGTGGGCGTCTTCACACGGGACGTAGTCCGCAAACGTGTCAAGGCTGATCCAGATGACACAGAAGCTGTCAAGAGGTTGAAACTAGCCATGATCCAGCAGTACCTTAAGGTGTGTGTACACATCGTTGTTTCATTGTTTTTACTACTATTTTCACTGTCCCATCACTGAGGAATCACTGTGTGTTGGGCAGTTTTTTGTTTATGTGGACAACCTTTCCTCTTGAGACATATGCTAAGGCAGTGGGCTGTAGGAAACAATGCATTTGTTGCTTTTTTTCTTAACTTTCTAGCTTTTAGAATGGGATTTCATAGGCCATGTTAAATCTTCTAGTCTGATTTAAGGTTTTCTTACACCTGGAGCTACTCTGTTGTCATCTTCTTTTAGTGTTGTATTGTCTTGTGCCTTACACTTGGCACCCCATGATCCCACCAAGTATCTTTTATCCCCTTCTGCCTCTGCCCATATCTCAGAGACCAGAAGAAATGTAACTTTGGTATGAGTAATTTGCTGAAGAAATCCCTGGAAAGCATTTTGAAAGGTAAAGTAAAAAGTCAAAGGCAGATTGTATAAACCAATGTCCTAATCATCTTTCCTCATGGCTTCCCTAGTTCTTTTTATCTCCTTGATGCCTTGGCCTAAATGAGATCTCTGTGGGATGAGGAGTTAATGCTGCATCAAGCACTCCACAAGTAAAGTGTAACAGTCATTCCTATTTCAATTATAATGGCTTAAAGGCTTATGAAATGAGACAGGGGAGCCAGGCGGCATTCTGTCACATGGGTAAGTATGTGGTATTCACTGTTACTAGGTGGGAAGCTGAAACAGAGATAAAGACTTAAAGAGTATCCCAAGAGGTCTGTGATAAAGCTGAGATTTGAACTCAGGCATCATAAAACTTTTCTGATATCTCAGAATCCTAAATGAAGAACTTGTACAGTGTGGCAGCTCTATTACCTAATGACTAGTCACTTACTATTTTATTCATGCAGATGATGTTATTCATTTGATGCACTCCTGTTGGTTGGTTTTTTTTGGTGGTGGCATTTGTGGCTTCTACAGGTTGCCACAGCCAAAGACTTTTCTGCAGCTCTTGCAAATCTTTTCTCATATAAATACCTGAGAACAATAAAGCTTCTGAGACTTAAGGCTCTCAGATCAGAGTGGCTGCTGAGAAAGTGAGGATTAACCAGTATTTCAGCTGAAGCATGGTCTTGGTAGCTGCTTGTTTTTCTCCTTGTTAACTGTTTTGCACTTTTCCTTCATGACTGAAATAACCCAACAGCCATCACTGTTTGTTATCTCCATAATGAGTCACTCATCTCCAGACGAGTGGCCCTGTTGTGTGAACCAGGGCACAAATCTGTGCTGTAGTCCAGCAGTACTGACCCTGAGTGGCACGGATGGGGTAGAAGCACAGCAGACTCAGAGGACAGATCTTCAAGACCTGCTGGCAATGTGGCCCAGTGGCAGTTCCTGCTTAATCCTTCCCTAAAAACGCTGTGCAATGCTCAGGTTGGGGCAACTGTCTTGACACAGTCCTAGGAGCAGCCTGTGAACTACTTAGTGCAATATTAACCTTTTCCTAAAAAGCTATCTGACTTGTTTGCACATCTTAGCCCAGCATGGAGATTCCTGCCCTGCATCAGGGTGCTCCAGGCTTCCAAAGGTAGTCTTCAAAGTGTGGAAACGCCTGGAAAATGGGTGAAAGGGTAAGGCATGGAACTGTAAAGTTCCCTTCATCTAAAATGCTTAAAGAACTGCAATGTGGGAATCATGGTGATTTGAAGATTCTTAGATTGCTGTGTCCTGCATCGTTATTAGAAACTTATCATGAGGCAAACCAAACATTTCTGCCTTTGTTTGAGGGATTGATGCAAGCTGCATCTATATCTAATACTCTTGCTAACATTGACCTACAGGTTGTGGATCTAAAGTTTTGATAATCGCATCAAGAGAACCAATTGCAAGTGTCTCACATCTTGACATTTCCCTTTCCTGTCTCCTTTAGTTCCTTCTGTATTGGGTCCTGCCACCTCCTGCAGATAGTGAGCTTGCTGATTGCTGACTGACAGCATGTTGAAAGCTGCAGACAGCAGAAATAGCTGCCAGATTTTTTTCCTGGCTCCTCAAGAGGCTCTTTATTAACATGGGGAAGAGCATTTGATTAACACAGCTCCAGCTTCTGTTGTGGGAGCGCCAAACAGCAAGTCCTGGACAGGGCTGTGGGTTTTTAATGCTAGGAGACAGTCAGAACTGTAACCCAGTGTCATCAGAAGACACATCATCTCTTAACCATGGCTGATGGAACTGTGGCCGATGAAACCAGGGCCAATGCAGCTTGTGATCATAGCAAAGTGGTTTCTCTAGCTAGAAGCAAAGTTAAGGAACGGATTTCATCAGATCTTGCAGAACACTTTTTTACTAGTGACAATAATGTGCTTTAAGAGGGGGATTCAGGATTCCCAGCTTAAGCATCTGCTTTTTGCCCTTGCAGTGAGTTGCTCTGTGGCAACGTTGCTTCTGTGTTGCTTTTCCTTAGGTAGAGAGTTGTGAGAGCAGCTCCCACAGCATGGATGAGGTCTCGCTCAGCGAATTCGGGGAATGGACGGAGATCCCTGGGGCTCATCACATCATTCCATGTGGTTTCATTAAAATCGTGGAGATTTTAGCCCGTTCCATTCCTGAATCTGTCATTCAGCTCCGCAAGCCGGTCAAATGCATCCACTGGAACCAGTCAGTCAGCAAGGAGATTGAGAGAGTGGCTGACCACAACAGTGACCTCCCTGAGGAGGACAAGGGCTCCAATGTCTTCGTGGAGTGCGAGGACTGTGAGTTTATCCCAGCTGACCACGTCATTGTGACCGTGTCCCTGGGAGTCTTGAAGAAACGCCATGAAAGCCTCTTCCATCCCCGCTTGCCCGAGGAGAAGGTGATGGCCATTGAGAAACTGGGCATCAATACCACTGACAAGATTTTCCTTGAGTTCGAAGAGCCTTTTTGGAGTTCTGAATGCAACAGCATCCAATTTGTCTGGGAAGATGAGGCGGAGAGTGAGAGTTTGACTTACCCCGAGGAGCTGTGGTACAAGAAGATCTGCAGCTTCGATGTACTCTACCCACCTGAGCGGTACGGCCATGTGCTGAGTGGCTGGATCTGTGGAGAAGAGGCTTTGATCATGGAGAAGTGCGATGATGAAACTGTGGCTGAAACCTGCACCGAAATGCTACGGAAATTTACAGGTCAGCCATGCCCTGGTTCATTGGGTGAGTGGAGAAGAGTGGGAGAATGGGGGTTGGGTGTTGAATAGCCATTAGGAAGGAAGTGTGCTAGAGTAATTTTTAGTTCTTTGGCATCTTATGTTGCTCTGGTTGGGTTGGGTAAGTGCTTCCAGCATACCTCCTGCTTGGGTGTGCCTGGAAGCTATTTATACAGAGGGGCTGATAACCAGCTCAGGAAGTGGTGGATTGAAGTGCTTGAGGATTCCACATCCTCTGCTTTGTTTAATCACAAACTGTAAGTATCTGTAAGAGCAGCGTCCTCCAAGATTAGATATATTTTATGCTATTCTAGGAACAAGTCCCCCACTTAACCTATTCATATCTGTTACCTCATGCTACCCAAGTCTCAACACACAGTGAGTTTCCAGCCTTACCTCTTGTCCATGGTCTCCAGTTAATTGAAGAAATTTGCCTTCACAAGCGTAGCTTTCCCCTGCATTTACAGACTATTTGCTGCTGACAGTGCAGAGATCTATAAAAGGGAACCTGGAAGCTGAGGACTGCCTGCATAGCTGACCATTGCCAGAAGAGGTTTTGCATTTGAGTAGTTTCTTTAGAAAACACTGGCTAGACTTTGTTTTCAGAAACTCCATTGCAGGGACCAAAACTGAATCCTTGGCTCCTTCTTCTCAGTAATACATCCGTGATGGATGATGACCCTGTGGTTCTACTGCAGCCTGCAGAGAAGTAGGATGAATCAGTGCTGAACTCCAGGCAGCTTCTGTTTCCTGAACTGTTTGTTTCAGTGGTGTTGGGTATCCCTACATTACAGTAGCAGTACACACATGCCTTCATTCCTCTTGACTTCAGCAGGCCAGCTGCTGCTCTATGGAAACACAACAGGAGGCTTTAAAGCCAAGTTCTAGTGCTGACGTCTCCCTAAGAGTATAAACAACCTTGTTTGCTGCAGTTCTTCTCACTTAACCACCTTTTTCTTTCTTTCTTTCTTTTTTTCTTTTTTAACATCTCAGTTTATCTAAGAGACTTGATTCTTTGGCTTTGTCTTAATTTGGCCGATGGGAGAATACTCTTCTATTTTCCCTCTTCCTAGTTGTGCTCCTTTGCTGTTATTGTTTTGTATGTGTTGGATGTTCCTCTCTTCCTCCTGGAATGGAAATAAGTTGGCACTGAGTCATTGGTACGTGCTACAGTTGCTGTTCCAGCTGATGCTGCACCTGGTCACTGTCCATCAGACTCTTCAGCTGAATGATTTCTGTCTCAACCTCCAATCCTGGGTTATCTAACCCTGGAGAAATTCACATGGAATATTACCGAGCTTCACCCTGCAGTGAACATTTTGTGCTTAAGACTGCAAAAGTCTCCAACCTGTCTTTGAATCACCCATTATATAACATGACTTGTTCCACCTTTTTCCAAAAAAAAAAAAAACAAACCCAAAACCTGTTAGTTTTTGGGGGATAATTGTTTGGGTTCATAATTTTACCATTGCTCCCCAGGAGCTCAGATTTGACCCTGAACTTGATGGAAAGAGAGGCTCTTTGGTAAGGTAGTTCAGATCTTCCTTGGTCTGTTGCTTGTGGAGCCCTTTTCATTGGCTTCAGAGGGTGTTGGACATGTCCTACGGTCAATCCATTCTTTTAGAGTGTTATATTATACTGGGAATTTCTCTCTGAGAGAAGATAACATACTTTTATGACCTTAAATTTCACTTGCAGGTTAGTGCTGGGGCTTATCTGGCTTTGCTGATAAAAACATTTGGGGTTGTTCTAGCCTGAGAACCATTGACAGTTAGAGCTCTTCACAACTGGATGACAGGAGGCTGCAGGCTCCTGTAGATCTGATTAAATGGGATGCCTCCAGACAATTATTGGCCTCGCTCTGCTTTCTTTGTTGGCTAAGCTCTGAGCATTAGATGCCAGAATGTGTAATTGCAGGCCTGCTCCCTCTGAGTTGCCAAGCTTAGGCTGGAGATGCCCTGAGGAGTCCTGCCTGTCCTCCTGCTATTTCTCCAAAAGGCAATGGATCTCTTTTCAGAGCTGTGCCATACTATGTGGATACCTGGGATGTCCTGATGTCCCTTTGCTGTCTGTGGATGCTGATGTATAGGGATAGTACCACCTATCTCTGTTGGCATTGATGGGATTTTAGATGCTCTGCTGATAGATAATCTAAGTTTGGGTGTCTTAACTGATAGGTATATGTTGATTTTGTGATGATTCAGTGTCTCATAATCAGTCCCATAACCAGTGAATGTGCAGAATGAAGAGAGGACTGTTGGAAGTATGTGAATTTATCTTCCATAGCTTCACAAATGGGACTCAGTGGCATTAAAAATGTGTCCTATTTTAGTGAAGGCTAATTTCTTTTTTTAGACATTTTATCTCTGTTTGGACAGTGAATGAGTGCTCAGTTCTTATAAGGTTCCACATCTGTGCTGGTTGTTACTTTTATCTGTAGGCAAAGGCACATGTTTATCCATCTGTGTAACAGCAGGTTGAATTAGCCCAATTAAATACATTCCTTGAAAGAATCTTCCAGTCTTTGTAATTTCTGTGTTGCAAACAGCAGCACAAGAGGTGCACAGGAGACACTTGCATCATGTCTGGTGTGCTGGAGAACTTTAAAGGAAAACCTTAGGAGATCTCAGGAGAGCTGAGATTTCTGCACCACACAGTGTGGTGCTAAGGAAGGAGATTGGCTTCTCTTCTACACAGCTGCCATATAAAGTACCCAGGGCTCCTTAGGTCCATGCTGGCAGAGGTATCTGTGTGCTTTGTGTTGCTGTGCTGTGGTTTCCCCTGTGATGGAAGTGGTTATGTGAAGAATAATTTCCTTCTGGGAAGGCTGCTGTTTGCTCCTGTGTATATGTGGCACACAATCATCCATGGGAAACACTAGAGAGATGCAAAGCTATTGCTTTTACCAGTTTGAATGACTATTCTATCAAATATTACACTAACAATACCATTGTTAGTTGAGCTGATGACTCCACAAATTATTTTGTTAACAAATTTCAGTCCTTATATATTCAGCCACAAATACGTGGCCTTATCCAGCAAGCCATCATCTCACTGCCTGTAGTGTTTCTACATTACTAGAAACTTTATGTTTCTTTGGTCCTTTGTGGAGCCAGGAGTTGGACTTGATGATCCTTATGGGTCTCTTTCAACTTGGGGTGTGTTATGATCCTATCAACTATCTTTCTACTGGCATTTTCCATGTTGACTCTACGTTGGCAATGGAATATAAGAACGTGCACTAACTACAGGAGAAGCATCATCAGCCCATTGCAGAGACTTCTTTTACTTGTACAATTGTTTTTTGTAATACAGCACGATGGATGACTGCTTGCTGTCGTGTCCACTAATGGTGTTCATGGTGTATTCTCTTGAGCTTTCCCACAGCCCTTCAAAATAGAACAAGATAACTTATTTCCTTGACGCATCTGAGAGCTCCCTATTCTCAGATTCCCTTGGGCCTTTCACTTCCATCCCAAGCATTCTTGCTTTGATGATTCTTGGAGGAACGTGTTTTAGTGCCTTTGTCCTGAAACAACATTCATTTATAGGGTGTATTTTGTTTGTAGGGTGTATTTGTTTGCTGGTCTGTGCCATATTTTGATCTGTGTATTAGTGGTTAGAAAGTGTTCACACGGTACAGTACCGAGCCACCCAGGTGCCTTTGCTGTGTTTCAGCCTTATATTTCATCATTCTGATAGACACATCGTACTCCAAAAAGTGGTAGCTGAACCAAGGAAATAATTTGCTCCTGATTTTAAGGAATTAAAGGCAGTAATTGTTTAGTAGAACTAAATGGCACAGTACCTAGCTAATCTTTAGAGCTGGGCATCTCCCACTCTAAGCTATTATGAAGAAAGTAGAGTTTGGATCGTCTTTGTGCTAGGCTAAGCATGCTGAAATGTTACAAAGCCAGGGCCTGAAGCAGCCACAGGAGCTGTGTAAGCTGTGAGAACTCTCAGACACTTTGCCTCTTAGAATTTTTTCTCTCAAGTACCCCTCACCTCCGTGTCCTGCATCCACATTGAAATCTTAAAACAATCCAGAAACCCTCCTCCCAACATCATTCTCCTTTCCATGCCACTTGCACCCCACAGAATGGGTCTGCTGGATTTTAGATTTGTTTTAGGGGGGTGACTGAGTAGCACTTAAGAGTCAGTAATACAGGCTTTGAGAACTTTCTGACAGGCTTGCCTATGCACCTGCATAAGGAGGATTTGCCTTCTCATCTTGTTGCTGTTCTTTTTGGAGGTGCATCTCTTATGAGACTACTTGATCATCCAGTTTAGAGTGGGCACCCGGTTAGATACCTAAAATTAGGTGAGATTGAATTGCTTGATCACCACCACGGTCTAAAAGTTAAATGAAAACAGGGAATGCTGTATATTTTTATCTAGAATTCTTATCTAGTGTCCTGGGTTCTCTGGAGCTCCCAAATCTCTTCTGCATGTTTTAACAATCTTTCCTAAAATGTAAGGCTGTGAGTGGATGACTGGAATTAAAAGGGATGCTGTTTCTGTTATTTAGATACCTGGAACATAGCAATAGAAAGGAGATCTGGTTTAGGTTCTCTTCCATGTAGCCTGTAGGCTCTGCCAGGATGTGTTTTGAATACAAGCCACTCACAACTTGCACAGATGTTTTCTCTTGAGTGCAGTCTCACTTTTTTTCTCCTCTTGCCTTCCATCCAGGGAATCCAAACATTCCAAAACCTCGTCGGATCCTGCGGTCCTCCTGGGGCAGCAATCCCAATTTCCGTGGATCCTATTCCTATACCCAAGTTGGGTCTAGTGGGGCTGACGTGGAGAAACTTGCTAAGCCACTGCCTTATGCTGAGAGCTCCAAAACTACTGTAAGTATGGCCCGAATCAGCTGAGTGACAAGAAGACTAATATGACACTGGGCAATGGGTTTTCTGGGGGGCAGATTGAAAGAGACAGTTTCTGGTGGGGCCTTCAGTAGTATGTTTTCCATGTTTTTATACATACCCATTTGGACAAATGATGGATGTAGGGTTTTACCTCCTTACTGACTGGAATCCCAACACCTTGGGATTCCTACCTCTCTCAAGAAGTACCAAGAGCTGAGCATCCAGGTGGCTTCTGAAATTGGGATTGGGATTACTAGCTTGTTCATAGCTCCTTAGGAAAAATTATTCTGATTTAAAGCATACACAGAATATACAGCATTAAATGCATAACCCCTGCTAATGGCTGGGTCTGAATATTTCAGAGGAGCATATTAGGAAATCCTTATGTTTTGGCAGGAGAGGGTAATGGAAATCCAGTCCTTGGCTGAGCGACTCGTGCATTGGCAGGGGACAGAGAGATTTGTTTCCCAGGTACTGCCTTCACTTTCTTAAAGAGAGTGAGAGCACACATGGAGATTATTACTGCAGCTCAACTTATGAGCAGTAATAAATTAATCCAAACTCACTCCATCCAAATCCTGAGACAATGTCTGATGAATATGCAGCCTCCAAACAGTTATCCAAGCACCCAGAACCACCATGTAATTTTGGTCAGCATGGAAATCTATTAAAAAAGACAGCAGAAGCTTTAGGAACCTTTCATACTCATTCTTGAGGAAGAGAGGGATCTGAAATCCTCAAAAGTGAGCCAGCACTAAACTACCCAGCTGTGAAAGAGAAGATGTGGGTTTCGAGATGTGGCTGCCTTTCCTACTGAAGTTGCAATTCCCAAATAAATCTTTAATATCCAGAAGGCTGAGGTGTAATTTGGGGGAGCAAGGAGGAGAGAGAGCACAGAAGTTGGATGCTTGGTGACTTGTGCAGCTTTGTTTGAGGCTGTGGGAGCTGGGATGGTGCCGAACCTCTGCCAACAACCATATGCAGGCATTACAGGAAGGGTGAGCTGGATGTTCCCAGATGTGCTATGCTTGTCCCACACTATACTGGGGTTTCAGTAGCCACCTCTAAACACCTATAACATACTGGTTCATGAGGGATGTGGGAGGGCACAAAAATATTATCTCCTTTTTGCCTCATGCATACTTTTCAGTAAGCTCTGCTGAGCTTTCCCACTCTTCTTATCCCCTCCAGCCGATGCAGGTGATGTTTTCAGGTGAGGCCACTCACAGGAAGTATTATTCCACTACCCACGGTGCTGTGCTTTCTGGGCAGAGAGAGGCTGCTCACCTCATTGAGATGTACCAGGACCTCCTGCAGTGCCGGAGCTAAAAGGCCCCGTGTTTGCAACCACCACCAACTTCCCATTCATTTTCCAGGTGTGTGGAGGAGATTCCTTTTTTTTTTTTTTTTTTTTAATTTTATTTTTATTTCAATTCACAGTAGAACAGCCTTTATCTTTTCCTATTAAAAACAGAAAAAAGAAAAAAAAAAAACGCCCTGTTTTAAAAACCTGGTCATCAATAGCTTCATTTCTGTGTGCTGTATTGTTAACAGGGAAGGGTGCTCTTTTTGTCTGTTGAACTGTTGTCATTTTAATTCTAACTGCACTTTCAGTGCCTATCTTTTTTTTTTCCTTTCTGTATTGTAAGTGCCTTCTATACTAAAATAAATGTTGTAATAAAAAGACTGCATGATTTGGTACTTTCTGGATAATCATCTCAGTAAGTTACTACTTGTTTTTTCAGTATTGTCAAAAATTTTCTTTCTATCTACAAAATTTGGAGCAGGAAGATCTTGAGAATGATTCTGTGTATCAGTTGATTGGTATGTGTTCAAGGAATTGTGCCTTAGAGACATTGTCTTGTCTAGGTCAGCACTGAGATCCCTCTGCATCACTGTATATTTAACTCGGTGTCACCTGCCTGTCAGCTGCTGTGGGCCTTCATGCTTCAGGAAAGCTTTGTATAATTTTGTGTGGAAATTTGTTGGGGGTAGTCTTAATCTATCCCTTGTCATAGAGTCATTCATAGAATCATATACTGCCTTGGGTTGGAAGGGACCTCAAGGATCATCAGGTTCCGACCCCCAACTTCCATATCTGGCAATAGACCAGGCTGCCCAGGGCCCCATCCAACCTGGTTATTGAACACCTCCAGGAATGGGACATCCACAGCCTTTCATGGCAGCTGTTTCAGCACCTCACCACTCTCTATGAAGAACTTATCTCAGACATCCAATCTATACCTTCCCTCCTTGAGCTTTTTGTTCTTCAAAAGTTCTTGAAACACACTGGTAATGCCCACCTTGGTAATGCAGATACAGCTGGAGCATAATCTACAGCTGTAATTGTAAGTAGTCCAATTAGAAAACTTCATTCAAACTTATGTGTTTGTATGTGTGCTCATGAGAAGATGCATTCTCAAACTTCCCCTGTGATGAAACTCCATGTTTTGTTGGGCAGTGGTGTCCAAAACAGGTGAGGTTTTCAGCCCCTGCCTCCAGAGAAGAGCTCAAAAATCTAAATTAAACTACTGGTACTGAAGAGTTTTCTCAGGGGCAGACAAGGCCATTGCCACTGACTTTTGAAGGAATGTGAAAGCATGTCATGTTATATCTGGATAAAAATACATGTATGTCCTTTGGAGCCTCTGTATAGTATCTGACATGGATTTCAATTAAAACTCTCAAAATTCAATTCTCCCAGATTTCCTCTTAGTCCACATAAAGGAGTTCCCTCTGCAGAGGTAAGGACAAAATCTCTCCTCAAGATTGGAAAGCCCAACTTACCCTGCAGAGATGCTGCATCTTTCACATCAGTGCTTTTTACTTTTTCCAAGAGGAGATGACATTCTAGAACCTTTGATACACCCCTTCCTTTATGTGATCAGTTCTGTGATCAGCTGCGTATGATTGTTCTCAGCTTGCCAGCAAGATTTGTTCTCATGATAAACTCTTCTTCTGCAGCAACACTCGTGGCTAGGAGATGGTGATTTAGGGTGATTTTTCTGGGGATTGCCAGGCCAGACGAGGTCTGAAGACTGGTTGAATAGATCCTTCCCTTCCCTTCCCTTCCCTTCCCTTCCCTTCCCTTCCCTTCCCTTCCCTTCCCTTCCCTTCCCTTCCTTCTCTCCTTCCTTCTCCGTATTTTGTGCAGGGATGCTGCTGACCCACGAGGAGACAACACCATACCAAGGGTAAGAAATAACCTGGCAGGGGTTGGTTTTGAGCCTAGCAGCTTCTCTTTATGTAACCTGGAGAACACCTGAAGAGCACCTCAGGCAGTGACAGCTCTTGTACTGAGCAAGTCAAACTTTGAAAATTCCCTCAAACGTACTTGAAAAAGGTGGGTAAGAAGTGGAATTCATAAAGAAAATGATCTGAAAATTGACTTGGTGTGAGTGAATTAAGATAATATTACAAGCCTGACTGAATGTGATTACAATTGAGAAGACAGCCAGGCTAGAATTTCAGGGTGGAGAGGTGATCTGGTTTGCATTAGAGCCCAAAGATAATCACCTGCAGTGATCCTCACGGAAATAAACACTTGTGTTTGCCCAGTGTGAGAAATACACCATGTAAACTCTGCTTTGTATGGTCGAATCCCTCAGAACTGGGGTTTTCTGATTCCAGCAACAAGATTTGGACCAAAGAGGTCTGGCTGGTACAAAGCTAACAGGACTGTGATAAATGAGAAACCATCTGTGTGCTGTATTCAAGCTTTCAACAAGAGAATTCTCCTCTGACCTAAATAGGCTTCCTGAAAAGAAACTTGTTTATTTGTAAATGGGTTCTAGCTTCAGTCACTGGAGCATATGTGTGTGTGTGTGTGCATGTTTTGTTTCCCTCGAAAGGTTCTCCATCTGTATAGGCAAGGATTTGCCAGCTCATGTGTTTCTTTGTTTAACAGTAAGCCAACAGCAGCAGTTCTCACTTCCAATATGCCCTAAAGAGGAGGCTGCTGGTGCACTCAGGTGTCATGGATCAGTGGGGTTTGCATCTCTTGGGATCCCCCAAATTGTTGGGGTTCAGAGGGATGGCTTTGGGTAACTCAGGCCAGCTTTGAGCTTCACCCATGTTGCAGGGATGTACAAACCATGGTATATGTAGGACAGCAGCTTGCTGCTGAGAGCTGTTCTGTTTAACCCCAATAATGTTGAGCTCTGCTCTTCCCCTGGAACAACAACTTCCATGAGGACTTGTACACAGCATGTCCCGTTTGCTGCCTCATGCTTTAATTGCATGTCCTGCTGAACAGCAGCTCTCTCCCCAATGTAAGCATCCCCTGAGCTGTGTCAGTAGGCACAGATGTTAGCAACTAGCCAGATTTTGGCTTGACCTTGCTAAGAGTGCCTTCTGGAACAAGATACGTTGTTGTTTTGTTTTTTTCTCAGACACATAAATCCTTTTCTTTTCAAAGTCAGCTGAGCAAAATGTGGTCACCAGCATAGTTTTATAATGCCTAAGCAGTGTTTTTCCAAAAGATAAAAAAGTTTGCAGGATAAAGAAGACACGTGCTTGCGCTGTTGCTTCATCTCTTTGCATGTCATTTATCCATATGACTGGCTGCTGCCCAAAGGACCTTTCAAGGAGCAAAATGAAGAATGTGTCTATTTTGGCATCAGTTGCCCCATGACAAATATGCATATTCTCCTTGTGGTTTCCTAACAAAGCATCTGGGCTGGGAGTCACATTGCTTAACTGTATCAGAGTGGGAAAAGTGAAGGGTCTCCCCTCTATGGCTTGCTTCTTGGCTCTGGGTACAAACCCCACAAGTGAGGGATGTCACCTTGCTCTTCCACCATCCAGTTCCATGGGGCTGTCCTTGCCCCAGGACTGCCGAGCATTTCTCAACAAAACTCAAAGCAATTCCTCCATAAGCAAAACCTGCTGTGATGTCCTCCATCATGCAATGAGCCAAATGGGACCGGCAAGGCCAACAGCTGGTGGATGTTCAAACGAGTCTTGTGAGTTGCTCCCTTTGTATGAGGTCTTCTAATTTATGCCTCCTTTCTCCAGGAAAACCAAGTGAGGCAACCCCATCTGGCCTCCTCATTCCTCTGCTCCATCACCAGCAGTTAAGCCTTTACAACAACGTTCATGTTTCTCTTGCAGGCACTAAATTTAGCAATTGTTTACCAAGAGGTTCTTAAAATTAGAAGGCTCTGATGCACCTGAGTGCATGAGGAAGAGAGGGGACCCATCAGTGAAGGCCATGACCTCTCACCCTACTCTGCCTTCTCCAAACCCAGCAGCCTCCTTGTCATAGTCACTGAATTAAAGAATGCCTTGGGTTGGAAGAGACCTCAGCAATCATCTAGTTCTGACCTCCCCCTCCCCTCCCCTGCCACAGGCAGCTTATCAGTGGGATGAAAGCAGAGATGGGAGCAATGACGATGGTAAGGGTTGCCCAATTTCCCAGGAACACTTGGTGGTGTCATGGGGAACGTGCACGTCTGTCCCCAGCTGCACATTTCTTGACTGAACCTTGCAGCAAGAAATGTTTTGGATAGGGGGTAGTTGGAAAAGCTGAAATGAGTTTCCGATGCTTCTATTACACCAGAAGGGTGGTGGTATTGTGGGCCAACTCCTGGCTTGGGGCTCAACATCCCTTCTTCTACAAGCCCTTATGTATCTGCAGTGAGTGGAGAATGCATTCGGTGCCACAGTGGCACAAAATTGCACGACTGTGCTGTCATGCAATGAGGGCACCATTTGGGTTGCACCTTTTCTAGTTCATGTCGTGCTTGCAGCACAATTTTTTGGCACAGAGCTGTGTGTGTTTGCACTGTTGAACCCTTTTCCCCACTGTGTCTGCTTGCATAGTGGGTATCATCCAGGATGTGCAAGGGATGTTCCTTATAAAACACTGCAAATGATGAGGGGAGTTGGGTGGAGGAAATCTGGGTGCCCAGAGCAGGCTTAGAAGGCACCCTGGTGTTACTACATGAAGGACCTGAAAAAACAGGCAAATGCAGCACACCAGAAGTGCATGCAACGAGTGGATGCTGAAACTGCAAATGGTTAAGTGATGGAAAGATAGAAGAAGTGTCCTCGGATCTGCAGCTTGCAGGTTGGATGTTTTTCCCTTCCTCTGTCTGTCCTTGGGCTGACACCACCGGTTTCTCCTTGGTGTTGCAATGACTTTCAGCCGCACGGTGTGACAAACCGAGGAAAGGTGATTTTGTGCTGCCATCTCGTGGCTAAAAAAGACTTCTCGAGGCCTTTAAAATACATATATAAACGTAGATGTGTCGTTCATCAGTGGGTTCTGTTTCTTGTCAGTGAGGATGAAGGACCCAAAAACAGATGATCCGTAAACAGATGGTAGAATCATGGAATCATTAAGGTTGGAAAAGAGTTATAAGATCATCAAGTCCAACCCCAACCCATCCCACCATGCCCATAACCACATCCCTCAGTGCCACATCTCCATGGTTATGGAACATCTCCAGGGATGGTGACCCCACCACTCCCTGGGCAGCCTGTTCCTACCCTGAGGTATCTGGGGGCAGAGCTGGAAAGTGAAAAATGCTGGATTCCAGTCTCTCAGAGCCCATATCTGTGAGATTTTTTTGGCTCCTTGGAGACCTAGTGCCAGTTTCTTGGTGTCCTGGGCAACAGTAAATCCTCACCTGCTTGACCCACAAGTCCCAAGGTTGGCATCATTGCATGGCTGGCCTGACCCCT